GAAAGTGTTGGAACCAGCGGAATTTCCAAGAATATTTTGTTTGCCGCGCATTTCTTAGGCTCACAGGACTTTATTATCAGACCACATACTTGAGTACTTAAACTGACAACATTTAAACGCTTATACACAAGCAACAGTTGTCCAAAACAAATAGCAGTACAAAACAAAAGTGTACAGTTATGCAATAAATACGATGCAAGGGTGATGTTGAAGGCGCCGAAGACAAGAATGATCTAGCTCACATTTAAGACTTGCTCACATAGGGCCTTTAGTGACCTTCAGCTGTACATTCTGTTAATCACTTGTTTTAAGAATGATGACCCGTTGGCCACACGGCCTTCTGATGATTCAACTACCATTTGACAGATCATGCAAAGGTGGAATTATTGTCAGGTGCTTTTGTCCTTGCTTATTTATACATTATCTACGACTTTATGGTGAAGAGTAGTAATAAATCATTTAAGTCAATAATTAGATTCCCAGTAGGATTTATCTCTTGTAACCTCTGTTGTATTGGTTACTGCGTGATAAATAAAATAGCTTTCGCGGTGGATTTAGCTTCAGTGACTTTCGTTGCATCTAACGACTACCCCAAGATCTTCGCTTTTCAGTGAAAGTTGATGCAATACTTGGCAAATATTCCAAAAAGCAGAAAAAAGGGAACAATAATTTGTTATTTTTTCCCTTGCATACGTCCACTTCACTGATAGATTCCCAATTAATAATTCTTTCACTAGGCAGGAAGGAACAGAAGAAAACGTGCCCACCACACAAAAGTTTTTCGCTTTCCATGTTAGCACTTCTTCCTGATAACGACACCTCATTACCAATGGTCCTCAAGAGCACAAAATATTAGCAGGATACTCAAGCAGCAATGCAGAAAGGGAGAACAAGAAATCTAAAAAAAATGAAGATTTCAGACGCATAAAAAATCAAAAATTCCCCCAAAGTTTCAAAGCATCTGAGTCCTGTAAAGCGATCTTGAGGTGAATAAATTAAAATGCTCACTGCAGTTCCAAAAGAACTGAGAAAAAAAAAA